GTTGGCTGGCTTGGTCCCGTGCGCTGGCAGGTGCTGCTGGCACCGTGCGTGCGCTGGGGACGGTCACTGGCGTGCTGCTGTGCACGGCCAGCGGCTGCTGGACACTTGTTGGGCATAACTGGCCACTGCTACGGACACTGGCAACGACACTGGCACGTATGAGCACTACCGGGCGCTGCTGTGCACCGTAGGTAGGCGACTAGCACGCGGGCTGCGCGTGCTGGGCTGACTGGGCACTCGGGCGTGATGCCGGGCATCGCCGAGGCCCGCTGGGCATCGCTGGCAAGCTACTGGGCGTTCTGGCGTGCATGACTGATGGCCAGCGTGCGTGGGACACTGTTGGCGTGTGTAATGGCATCGCTGGGCACGCTACTGGGCGCGTGTTGCGCTGTGGCGTATGCGGACTGACTGGATGCACATTGCCGTGTGTGTTGGCGTGCACTGTGCACGCATACACGTAAGACTGCAGCAGTACGCTACTTAGCTGTGGGGCATCGGCTACGCGCACGCAATGCTGGTCGTGCGCACGCTGCCAGCGTGCCCGCTGGGATTATCGGGCGTGCCGTGCGCACGCTGTGTGCGTCTAGGCACTACGGTCGGCCTTTCGCCGGCCATCCGGCCACTTTTTCTGGCAACCCACATATATCTGATCATAAAATGACTTGGAATGACTAAACATGCGTGAATAACTCGGGACTTGCCAGTAAGATTTTGAAATCACTCGGAGAGGGCTTATATAGCACCTCCGAGGCCATTTTTGCACCAAACTCAAACCGAACGACATGATTTTGACATGATCTTCCTAACATGAGCTTAAATACATGAAAATAGGGTAAATAAGTGTATACCCTTCAGTTTACTCGAGGAATGCACGGTGGTTTGCGCGTGCTTTCTTGGTGCGTTCGGTGTACTCGATGGTGTGCGAGTGCTTGTCCATTGCTTCGACTTTCCTTAGCTATTTTTCTATAAATATTCTTCTATTTTTCCTTACTGTTTTCCCCTCAAATAGTATGCTGATGTTTGGCTTATTTTATGTGTGAAATGCGTGGGGAAAACTCACCCGTTCGGTTATTTAAAGGGAAGACAAGTTCGTTGGGAAAACTTGGGTCAAAGAGGTGAAGGATGACGGTTTTCCCTTTAAAGAGTGTCCCAACCGTGGCTGAGGTGTTGGGCATTTGGCTTAGTCACTGGTCGACGTGGCGTGCATGCACAGGTTTAATCATCGCCTGTGTGTTCTTGCGTTGCTGTGCGTGCAAGCAAGTAGGTGACTCACCACACCACTTGCACACCAAGGCTTATCCGTGGAAATTTCCACACAGCTACTTGAAAGCCTAAGACTTAAGCGGCTACTTGAAAGCTTAAGACTTTGGTTACTTAGTATTGATCATAGTACCTAAGGGATCATGACCGGTAATGATGCGCGCGCACTACGTACGCATGAGAACGTGCATTGCACGCGTGGTTGCTCACGCACGGAGTAACGCAAGACATGCGTGTGTGAGGCCTATGAATTAGGCAAGTTAAGCATGATTAAAACTAAATAAACATGAGTATCCTTAAGCATGATTAGTATTCATGATTAACATTTAACTAATCATGATTAATTAGCTAAACATGGATTAAGTTAATTAAGCAAGGGTTAATGACGATTGCTTAGGCATAAGTTAATGATGGATGGTGTACCAAGTGTGAACGCGTCGCTGTATCGGAATGACGACGTTTACATATGATAACCTTAACCGAATGTACTCATTTTCGGTTACAACTTGACCTCAGAACTTAATTCGAATATTATCTTAACTTAACCTCACCAATCCCAAACTCGTTCCGTATATAAACGAATTGGAATTAAATGTAAAAACTCATTCGGTTACTGAAATAATTAAACCGAATATTAAGTCGACTAAAAGTCGAACTTAAAACTAGAACTCGATAACTGCCTCAAAACTTATCTTTGACGATTTATCGAATATTCTCAAATTCGATTAATACGTCAATACTGGAATAATTAATCCCGCCTCACTGATGTTTTTTTATTAAAATAAACAGACTGAGATTAATTATTATCATTGACTCAGTTAATAAATAAAATTAATCGGATATACTTTCGACTTAACGTCGAACTTGGAACTTAACTAGCTGAATAACTTGAACTTGAACATTTACATGAATATTTGTTAACAAAGGCTAGCTTACATTTAAAAGCTAGTATTTTCCCTTATTAATAAAACTCGGGGTGTTACACACATAGATCGGAATGAACTAGACCTAACACATCTTCGGCTCTATGCCCCTTTGAACTAAAAGCCCTCTTAGTCATTTTACCTTCCAGGCAAGACTCACAAGTTGGAAAAGCCTCGACTTCTAACGACCCCAAGGGCCCGTCTGCTACCAACTTTTGAATCCTCCTAAGGTTAATATGACCAAGTCTTAGAGGCCAAAGATATGTTTCGTTCATTTTAGAAGGTTCCTTTCTCTTATTCAGATTAGATGATGAATTAAGTAATTGTTTCTGTCGCAGTGGAGATGACTTAGATTCTAGAATGTATAGATTGTCAACTAATGAACCAGAGTATATGAACTTTTTGCCAAAACGAATAACAACCTTATTATCAAACGTAGCAGAAATTCATAAACAACTTAGAAACTGAAATCAAATTCTTTCTAAAACTGGGAACATAAAGACAATCTTTCAAAACTAGAAACCTATCTAAGCCAAAATCTAAATAGACGTCTCCCACTGCAACTGCTGACGCTCTACTAGCATCGCCCAAGTAGATGGTAACTTCTCCTCCCCTAAGTCGCTTGGTTTCTTGGAACCCCTGCAATGAATTGCAGACATGATCAATGGCCCTCGTATCTACACACTAGGTACTGGTAGATAACACCGCTAAACATGTTTCAACGTCTAAAGCAAAAGGAGTACCTTTTTCTGGTTTCTTGGGAAGAGGGCAGTTTGCCTTCCAGTGTCCTTTCTGCTGACAGTTGTAACACTTGCCTTTCGGCTTCTTCGCCTTTTGTCGAGGTTGCACGTCACTCATGATTACCTTGCCCTTTCCTTCGGACTTCCTCCTCTTCTTGCCCTTAAGAGCCTTAGAAGTGGAAGCTTCTCCCCGCTGGGCCACCATAGCTTGGGTCTTCTGACGAAACAGGCCCTCTGCCGACTGAAGTTGACCAACAAGTTCCGGAAGAGTCATCAACATCTTGTTCATGTTGTAATTCAAACGGAATTGCTCGAAGCTCTTCGGCAAAGACTGGAGCACTATATCGACCTGGGTTTCCCCATCAATAAAAGCCCCAAGAACCTCCAGCTCATTCAGCTGGGCCATCATAGCAAGAACATGCTCCCTTACGAGAGTGACCTCGCGCAAGGACATGTTCATCAGAAACCTCATGGCCTCTTGTCGGGCAGCCCGCGACTGATGACCAAATAACTCCTTGAGATTGTGTAGCATATCCGCTGCAGTGTTTATAGACTGATATTGATGTTGAAGTACATTTGACAAAGATGCCAAGATGTAACACTTCGCTATCTCGTCAGCCTTTTTCCACCGAGCATACTCCTCTTTCTCTTGGTCTGGTGCATTGTCAGCAGGTACAGCCGGACAAGCCTCAACAGTAGGAAATTTGTACCCTTCAGCAGTTAACACTATATCCAAGTTCCTTTTCCAGTCAATATAATTGGGACCAACAAGTTTGTTTTCTTTGAGAATTACGGACAACGGATTGAAAGACATTTTGAATTCCTGGGATCAGTCAAGTAGTTTTGAATTTATACATCAAATATTGATCCCATTAAACAACATTTGAATAAATTCACCAACACTTCAAAACACCGAATCCCCGCAGGCCACTGAGTGTGGACGTCTACGGTTCAAACATTCGCAAGAGGAGGGATAAATCCCATTAGCTTAACATACTGCCGAGCAATACTTAACTAATAGTCGGTTTCATCTTTTGGACAGTGCAATTAACTTTATAAAAGAATAAAAACGACCTTGTCCTTTGGGACTATCGTAATTATTTGCACTTTAAGCGTAACCCATTAATTGGTACTAAGTTTACTACCAAAATTATACGTCCACCTTTGGGTGACCCGTACTCTTTTGAAATAGCTCACTACAACCATCCCGAAGGAGATTCGTCCTTGTGAACTGTGAAATAAAACTTCCTATGGGCTTGAATTAAATCACTTCACTGACAAACCTATAATGGAGGCCTTGGATGTAATTTATTTCAACCCATTACACACTTAATATAATTTTTATTGTATGGGATTTTCTTAACATGTTTGTATTTGCACAAAAGCAATCACGTAAACATGCATGATTAATGAGCAATAATAAACTAGGAACTACAATCCAACTATCATGGCCATTAATCAATCTCCAATGTTACGGAGAAAACACAGTCCTGTCCTTGTTGAGTGTGTCTTCCGTTTCAGGTATTGGACTCCCCTTTCGTACTGACTCCCACTGAATTGGTCGTCTCCGGGAAAGTCGCCATTGGATCATCACCATGGCATCCGTGTATGTGTTTATGCCTCGCCCCGTCAAGGTTGGTCCACGCCCGCGGGATCAATAACGAATAATATAAACAACAATTACAAAATTCATCCTATGACCCATGCAGGAGCCGCACATGAGTTTCTATGAAAGCAATAAACTATACGGTGTCCCACCGCGCGAATAATTTATTACAAGCATTCACCAACCCAAAAATTCCTTGACATGTCCAAGGCTTTAAAAACAGCATACATTCAACATGAATTAAAATCCATACATACGGGCCACAATAGTCGGATTCGAAACACCTACAAAAACTTATTGCAATTTCTAATCTACTATGCCGCTGCGTCCGTACGCACATAATTCATGTAGACAGGCAAAGTCTGAAATTCAAACTGTGCACGAGTTTGTATTAAGCCTGGTCTTTGATACAGTTGTTGGGTTCTGTTAGGTACGTCAAACAAGATACACAGTATTGAAGTTTATCAAAATAAATCCTAACGCAGCGGAATCTATAGTTAGGATATGGACGTTTACCTTTTAAAATTTTTGCCAACTCTGAGACTATGTAGAGTACCGTTGATGAAGTTCGTCTGAACACCACAACCTAATAGGCGGATAGGTTTGGCCTTTAGTCGATTCTAATCAACACGGTCCTCGGTCGCACGGTGCGCGGGTCTCGGTCATCAGGTGCAGCGGGCAGCATGTGCGCATCGGGCGCGGACAGCGTGTGGAACGCGGGCAGCAGTCACGGACTCACGCGGGTGCGCGTCGGATGCTGGCGTGATGTGCGGGTGGCTGGGATCTGCGGACGGACGCTAGCGTGCGTGTCGCGGACGTGCGCTGGGACTCCTAGGCCTCCGCGAACTGGTGTTGGCGTCTGGGATCACGCGGGTTGCTGGGCACGGCAGCAGGGACGCGATCGGATGGTGCGTGCGTGACAGTCGCGCACTGGGAACGAATAGCAAACAGTCGGGCGTCGCTGGGGTCGTGCACGATCGGCGACTGGGATGCTAGGGCGACTCACGATGGCGTAGGGCGTCGCTGGGGAGTTGCGGATGTCGTCGGGTGTCGCTGCTGAGAGCTTGCGTTGTGCCTGGCGCGACTGCGAGCGGGGCTTGCGGTTACGATCGGCTGGGCTTGCGCGGCTTCCGGCGGTGGTAGGTGATTTCCGGCGAACACTCACGGCGGCGATGAACGGTGATGATGTGATGATGATGACCGGAAAATATGGTTCTTAGAAAGCTCAATTAATTGTACCAAAAAGCCTTCTAATGGATTACCTAAACACCTACTTCGATTAAACTTGATGGAGCATTTAATCGAATCTCCCTAACTCTCGAACGATGTAATTCTCTTGCGTATGTAGTAGAGAAAAATCGGCCAAGACATTATTGTAGGAGAGGTTGGGACATGGTGTATTTATATGCTCCATTAGGGACCTTAAAGAGGTGCTAAATATGGGCTTATTTTATTAGGCCTAGGAAGCCTAATTCTACTCCAATACTAATTTAATGTAGGAAGAAAATCTCCTACTAATCCTCTCCTTCTAGTAGACTCCTAAGTCTCCTAACAATAGAGAAGATCCTTGTAGGAATATCTTTCCTAATTAAATTAATAAGTATGGAATAAAATTAATTCCTAATTTAGGAAGCCTAATTTTACTCCAATTAATAATATAATGTAGAAAATATATTTCCTACTAATCTTCATCTTCTAGAACACTCCCAAGTCTCCTAATCCCAAGAGAAGATTCTAGTAGGAATTTTATTCTCCTAATTAATTAATTAATATGGAATAAAATTAATTCCTATTTAATGGAATTAAATAATAAAACATCCCACTAGAGTAATATTATTGCTCTCCCCATTTAGCCACTATTTTACCAATAAAATTGAGCTTCTATGATTAAATAATATCAATCTGATTGATCAATTTACCTCCCTATGTTTAAGATATAACGTCCGTTGATTAATTAAATTACTGACAAAATAATTAATCAACTTCTTATTCATTTCCGAAATTAGTAACACTCAGCCTTTAACCATTATGTCAGACAATCGTCTACCTGCAGGGTTTAACATAATGTTCCATTCTGAGCTCATTTCGGGGACGTCATCAATCCAGCGCATTGGAACATAGTGACCGTAAATAATTTATAATAGCACATCATATAATTATTCTTACTTACTAAAATACCTCGTATGTCATCCTATTAAAACAGGAATCACTTGGTAAATCAAATAAATAAGAAATAAAAATATATGCCTGTTTTATATTATCTTACAGCTTAAGAGAACGCATCAATCACTGAAGGTCTAGGTTACGACAACGGTCAGTGAGTCTCATATCCTTATCCTTCCGGGGTCCTGTTCAACACTTAACATAAGTGCTAGTGTAATCCTTCAGTCAAAGACCAACTGAATCGAGAATACACTACAGTCTTTTTCCAAGTGGAGTATCACTGCCAGTCTAGACTATGAACGAATAGTTTAATCTTATAAGGAACCGATAGGTGATCTTTCTGTTCGAAACTCTTCGAACCACACTACCTCAATATAAGACATGGAGTATGTATTGCATAAATAAATAAACTGCAAACATATATACTTTGACCGAAACATGATGGCCAGATCAAAATGGAATTGATAGAAACTGCAAAACATCGCTTTTACAACATACCTCTAACACAAATTGTTGTTATATGACTCTTAACAACTATTTTAAACAAGGATGGTTTATGAAATAGGTAGGAAATAAACAGAAAAGACGTCGGTTCAAACTATAGGTGACGTCGGTATTTATTCACAAAGAATCAAGATATTATTTTGAATTTATTACAATCGACGTAAAATGTTCAAACCCCTTTCTGAGGATTCCACTTACTATTTATAGTACAATGATCCACCATACGAGGTTGATGTGATCGCATTTAATGCAAAGGAAAAGTCAATGGTAGCCATTTGCCACTTGTACTTGTGATTCGCCACCTGGATACAGTCATGATGACTTACTGAGTTGGCACCGCCGTACGATGTTGGGTTCGTCTTCCATCGATATCGGTTAATTAGGCTTTGACCGACGAGAGATGTCGGTTTGATGAGGATGAAAAATACTAAACTTATCAGCTTTAAGGATGTCGGTTCTTCGTTAAGGATGTCGGTTCTTAGCCCACCCTATCCGACATGATGTTACTTGAAACATGTAAGCTTAAGATCTTCAAGGTAGTGTAGCCAGGTGGCATTGATTTTTGATTGCTTTGTGCTAATAATCAACGATCAATTGGTTTAATGAAAACCATGTCAACAAGGTGGCCCCCAGCATTAATGGGCGTTTAGAAAGGAACGGGTATTGATGCTGTGAGCCGTCATAAACTTGTTGTTTTAAGTGACCTGGACATGTCGGTTTCTCGCTATCACACTCCGACGTCTTAAGACTTGGTGTGAAGAAGAAGCTTGAAGCTGAAATGGCGCAATTTGTCTTAATTAAATGCAACACTTTCTGATAAGGCAACGGTTATTTTTTATAGGCCATGTAGCCGTTACTGATAGGCGCAATTGTCAAGGGTCGCATTTACTCGTGAAAAGAGGACGTGTAATTCACGTGCTCCTCTTTCTTTTTTCCTTCAACAGTTATTTCTGATTTTAGGGTAATGTATAATTAGTCGTCCACCTTTACGAAATCGATTTACCCATATTTTCTCTGCAATATAAATCGTCATCTTCTTTGCAATTTCTTGCTTTCTTTGATTCCTCAGTTCATTGCTTAATTTCTCAAAGTACATCCCTCAGATCTGCAACCTTATTCTTGTGGTAAGATTTGTTTTCTAGCTCAATTTATTTTTTTAGGTATATTTTTCTTCAAATCGTGAGTATATCATGGGCGTCTTCGGGTGACGACCAGTTGGATGTTATGATGATTAATATGGTTCATTCTAGAGAGATGTAATTGCTTGCCGAATATCATAGGTGGGATCCAGCCTTTGTCGAACATTTGAATATTCAGATGAACGACACCGAAGGGGACAAAAAGGTGGAAGAGAACACCGTCGATGATCCGAGATATTAGAGACGGCCTAATAGAAGATGGCCAGACCCTAAAGTAGATTTTCACTGCGAACCGAGTATATTGACCGACGCTTATATCGTGATGCTACGAAATGATGTTTGAATCCCCACATCGGTGCATTTATTCATGCCTTATCCCAGAGAAAGGATCACATGTCCTCTACCGGGATGCGTCGACGTATTCGCCGAGAGCCTGAAATCGAGTTTGCGGTTTCCCTTGCCGCGCATAATTATCGAGTATTTGTGGAAATGGGAGTTGAGCTTGTGTCAGATTGCTCCGAACTCGTGGAAGAGAGTCATCGGGTTACTCGTACTCCTTGCCGAAAAAGAAGTGGGATCTGCCCTCGGCTAGGGAAATGAGGAGTATGTTTACTTTTCGGAAAAGCCCGAATAGACAAGTTTCGGACCCACTAATCACTTTTTCTATCATCGGTAAACCTCAGCTGAGAGTTAAGGTTGGAGAATTGGTGACGGAAGTTCCAGACACTCTCCACGGCTTTCAGGAGCAATGGTTGTGGGTTGGTGGAGATTGGCAATGTGCCGATTTCTCTAATGATCTTTTAGCTAATGGGACAAGCATCCCTATGGCCGTAAAATCATGATATTGTAAGTCTTATTAACCTTCTTTTTTTATCCGAAGTTATTGATCGCTTGTTTTTTGTCTTCGCTAACACGTGGCATTTTGTAACATTTGTAGCCAAACCACAAGGGACCAAAGAACCGAAGTTTGAGGGGGAGTTATACAACCGGGTAGACAAACTTTTCGAACTTTCTCCGAATAAGAGAAGATACCAGCGGTTAGTAAAGGACTCTCAGTTGGAGCTCGCCGGTTTGTCACCCGGAGTCTTGGATTTTTCATTTTAACCCGGTAAGGATATCGATTTTTTCATTTGTCATCCTTTATATTTTTGTTATGGTTATCTTTGTGGTAATTTAAAATTGCTTGTCTTGCATTGTACTATCTGTTGTTGGGATTTTTTGGTTTCAGAGATCCTATTGAAGCCGTGGAATACCGGAGGCGTAATCTGAATTTGGATTTGAAAAACAAAATCGGTAAAAATAAGAATCTTCGATCAACTGAAATGGCCGGACGTATGAATTTACTTAAGGCATGGAAGAAGAACCCGGCTAGTTCTTGTGCCGTTGTTGGTGAGCCATCAACGACAAGGGATGAGCCGACACTGGATATTCATAGCTGCCCAGTTGTCGAAGGTGAACCAATATCAGTAGTGAACGTTGTGGAAGAGTGTAATATCCCGATATTTAATCGGTATAAATTACGTTTAATTCCGATATAGTAACG